AAATAATGTTCTTTTTAGCAACATCATATGACCCCTTTAATCCTTATAGATGATTACTTAGTGGCAATGCAGTAGTTTCACAATATTAATGAACACAAATATGTATGTCAGGCCACAAATCCACATAAAACTATGCATTGGCACTTGCTTTGGTGTTGCCACCCCTCATAATACTCATGCCACCCTATAAATAATTTTCTAGATCTGCCCCAGAAGAGGCTAATATAAAGTTGCATTCAAATTATAATTTTAATAGTATTTTCGTGCTGTGACCAGGGGGATGGAAACAATTATGTAGCCATCTTATTCTAGTGTTCAATGCTGAACAGGAGTCTAGCATTGAAGCCTCAAAAGGACTGAACTAGGAAGGATGCAGCCTTCCATTTGAGAAGCACCCTTCATTTAATTTCTGACTTTTGAGCTGTTATGAACTTGATTTTTGTTTACGTAAAAAATAAAAGTTTATTATAGATGTCTTGTAGATGAGCAAAAAACCTAATAAATTGTCTTCCAGATGTGAGCACACAAATCAAATAGACAACTGAGTTATATACATATGCTATCAAGGCAAATATCAAATCAAGGAAAATATTACTCTTATTGTCCTTTATCAAACCATTTTAACTGGAAAACATACATTTTTAGTTCCAGATTAGTACTGATGTACGTATTTACTTCAATGTCTCTCCAATTGTTGAAACATGCAGAAGACTGATTATCTTACGTTGCTGTAAATGTCAGGTGCTATACAGACGAAGACCTTAAAAGTTCATAACAGGTTATAATTTTTTTTTTACTTTAACAACAATAAAGGCATTTTCTCTTGTGAAATATCATATCAAAGCAAAACAGAGCATATAATGCCTGTCCAACTATTAGTTTATTAAACTAAGTCAGTGTTAAATGCAGAAATATATTCACAAAAGCAGTGGCGTATTCAGAGCACTAGTGATCCAGGGCAGTAGTAATTTATAAAGTTTCACTTGAATTTTTGCTTAAGTTTAATTTTAGGGAATGAGTACACATTACAATAAATTATTAAGCACTGTCATCATTAAAGTATTTAAATGTGAAGTCAAATTATTAAATTTGACTTTGAAATGTTTATCATGTGACCATAATTTCACTATTCAAATAAGTTTTTGTCCTGACAGAACAACTCGACCACAAATTTTGTGGAGGCTCGAGTCCTACCATCCAGCTGGATAGTTTTAATAATGTAAAATAAGCTTAGGACTTTTACTAAATGTCAATTCATGGTTTGTTTGTATGTAAGTGTGTGTATATATATATGTTAGGGCTGGGCAAGTTAAGTGAAGTGAGTGACGTGACATGACATGTGGCCAAGTATGGTGACCCATACTCGGAATTAGTGCTCTGCATTTAACCCATCCAAAGTGC